TAACCCAAGAAAGTCAGTGCGTCATCGAGGACTGTCTAACTTATTTCCATTGGGGTCCTCAATCTTCTCCCCCAGGATGCGACTCACACCAGTCGACTAACACCCAGGTACCTATTCGCTGCTAGGTGAACAGGACAATAGTGTTAGGAAACATGTCGAAATGTTTCCACCCGCCGGGAATCGAACCCGGGCCCTCCGTGTGTGAAGCGGGAGCTTTAGCCACAGTGACTCCCCAAGTGGGAAGTATCTTCTCGTTTAGCATCTTCAGCAGCATAGGAGGGCAGAGGCAGCAATTACAGGGTTCTTTTTGGAGCCACACCCCAGCTTTAGCAGGCAGCAAAGTGCTGGGGAAACTTGCCTTCACGATGATTGATCATTGACAGTCCTGCTATATGAGGGTACCGTCTTCAGCAGCTCCATTCTGGAGAGTCCTGAATTTCTTCCTTGTGGTGTAGTCGAGTGCCACAAAGCGGTGACTTTTTGAGAGTAGGTTGATCAGGGATTCAGTGGTGAATGATCGAGTTGAGTCGCGGGTGAACTTGACTGTCCCGTTGTGGAGGCGTTGAATAATTTCTGGAGTGTACATTGCGTTCTCATTCTGGTTGGTTGTGTAAAAGTATACCCCAGGAAAGCAATGGACTTCTTTTGATGGAGGGCTTTAGTACGTTAGGGATGAATCCAAGGCTCTTGTGTTTTAACCTTTTTGGCTGGGGTGGCTGAGACGTTTGAGGTGAGGCGTCTGATTGGTCCGTTGTGACGGAGGTGGAAGCAGGTACTGGTGGACTCTCATTGGTGGAATCGGTCGGCGTCCAGTGGTCTCTGTTTGGGTCCATCTCTGTGTCGAGAGGAAGGTGTGGTAGCGGTGGAGCAGCGGTAATGTTGAAGACATTTGCAGTTGGATTTTATGATCTCTGTGGAAGGTGGGAGATGCAGGGAAAATGTGAAACAGGCATATTGTTAAGCTTGAAGAGTTCGTTGATGGTGGTGTTGAAGGAACCAGGTTCAGCTACATTCTGCACATGAGCATACATGATGCAGTAAAGAATCTTGGGGAGTCGCCAGCAAGAGCTGGCGAAAGAAGTGGTAGATGCAGCTTGTGTGGCTTGAAGAATCTTGGTAGTATCTGCTTGAAGCTTGGTAATAGGGCAGCATATTAGTTGCTTGTGCAGTGGGTTTTTTTTTGTTGTGTTGGAGTTTTTCCCTTAAGTATATCTCGTCTGGTTGGGCACTTGGCAGGCAAGAGTAGGGTGATCATTCTTGCAGTCAAGCATTTAGGTGGAGAGTCAGTAGTGCACGTCTTGAAGTCATGGCCCTTCTTGGCCGCAGTGGAGCAGAACTTCTTATTCTTGGGCAGGGGAGTCTTTGGTGGTATGTAGGTATGAGTAACAGTTGGAACCCTGTGGAATTTGATGGAATTTTTCTGCTTCGATGAAGGCTGGATTGATGTGGAAGTAGTGAATAGCCAGTCCCTCAGCGAGAGCTCTGGCTGCCATGTTGACGTCACTGAAGGTGACCTTCAGCATGGAGGAGGCATTGGGTAGTTTGGTAATGAATTCCACCTTGGCCTAAGGGTTCTGTGCTTCAATGGACGAATTGATTTCTTCGGTATCCTGGGCAGTGATGAGCCTGTCGAGTCTCTTGAGGAACACAGTTCTCCTGGCCCTCAGAGCTGGGGAAGTCAAGACAATAAATCCCTGATCTCGTAGAGTGGTTGTAGCATTGGTGGTAATGAGTTTTTCAGCCTCGGTGTCGTCAGTACAGATGAGAACGAAGGCCTCTGAGTGACAGAATCGCATTAAACTTGACTTGCAGGCTGCCACTGACGACAGCTGCAAGTGCTAGCTTGGACGAGTCATTGACTGTCCCACTCTCTGGTTTGATCTTTACCCTGTTCGAGAAGTGCATCGTGAAGTGTGGTCTGCTACGCTGGGGGTGGAAGGTACGTGAGTATTTATAGTCAGGTTCAGAATGCTGTGGTCAGGTGGAGAATGCTGCATCTGATGATCTACCGAGTGGGGTTATAGAGTCTAAAATCTTGGGTAGCTTGGAAGGGAGATTGAATAAGTTTGTGAGCAGACCTTCTGCAGTGTTCCTCCATTCCTATGCTCTTAGGTGGGATAGCGATGAAGAAGTTTCTTGGCAAGTGGTTCAGCTGTGTTATAGAAGCCATTGTTCTGATTGAAGTTGTTGGATGTAGAGATAAGCAATGATTCCAGGATTCTTCTGTATTGAGTGTTGTCTTCTCTGTCGATAAGTCTTGAGTTTATGTAGTTTATTAAATGGTTGTATGAATTACGGTGTTGTACACAGGCATTCCTTGGATCGTCAAACCTGCTTGCGTATTGGTGTTCTGAAATACGTGTTTGGAGGTCTCTTGATGTTTCGCCCATGTATAATTTGCTGCAGTCATTACAAGGGATTATGTATACCCCTGCAGAGGATGGAAGCTTGTCCTGTCTATTATTGGTAATGTCCTTGATGGTCGTGGTTGTGGAGGTAGATACTTGGAATGAGGTATTGGAAAAGATGTATTGGACTGATGAAGCCACTGTGTGGCGAAACGTTTCCTGAATAAAGATTCTCATATGTTGCATAAGTGTCTCAATCTTCAACTTGTTGGTTTTTCAAACCATTCATCACAACTGTCAGACACTGCAGTATCATGGGATTTTGTTACGAAGTATTCTTCAACACTTGTCCAACCTTTGGACGAAGTCCTACCACGACTAGTGGATGGTACCACTATGATCCCGCCTCCTCCTGCTTCGCCTCACCTGACTACAGTATATAAGCCACGTCTACGGCCCTATGCTGTACATTCTACAAGATTATGGACTGAACACATCGACTCCAGGCTGAGGGACTGATTACCTCAAACTCCTCCTCTCCTTACACCTTCTGCTTTGTATTGGACTGATGAAGCCACTGTGTGGCGAAACGTTTCCTGAATAAAGATTCCCATATGTTGCATAAGTGTCTCAATCTTCATTATTATTGTCATTACTAATATGGCGTCACTCATACAAGTCGTCTGGCTACCACATCTCATATTTGTTTGTTTATTCTACTGTGAGGTGTATTTATCATCTTTATATGTTATGTATTGTGTTTATTATATAATTTTGAAAAAAATATCATAGATGGATTAATGAAAATATGTATATTAACGTAATATATGACATTTAATGAGACTTGGTGATTATCATCATTACTAATATGGAACCTCGAGACATAAGACACACTGATTTTAATGTGTACCTGCACATCAGCACAGTGTGTAAGTTGATTTAGGTACAGGTATATATAAGTATAATTATCAGAGTATATATAAAGTATGAAATAACTTTTAAAAACACTTGAAATTTTGGAGTTTACAGACATAATGGAGAGATGTAGTGCTTACAGATCTCACACAGAATGTAAACAAACTGGGCGGGGCACGATGACCATATTAGAAAGTCAGGAGGGGGGGAGCCGTATAGAGTTTTAGTCATAATTTGAAATGATCGTATTAGTGGAAAGCCATAAAGCGGGGTCCTACTGTAATAGTATTTTTGATGTGACTCCAAGGAGGTTTACCAAGTTCCCTTGTTATTTCTGTCACTGGGATAGTAGAGACAGAGAAGCACATTATCAGAGGAAGCACTGGCCTCAAAGGATCAAGTTCTTAGTAGGAAGACATAATATCAAACTTAAACCATGTGTGGGCCCTCAAAAGGTTCTGTTCCCCCCATCACACATCCAACTAGTGCTAATGAAACAGTTTGGGACTTCTTTCCCAAGCTATCAGAGGCAAAGGTGAAGGCTGGCATCTTCACTGGACCACAAGTCAGGAAAATTATGGATTGCTCAGAATTTGCAAAGAAGCTCACAGAGAAGGAAAAGGAAGCTTGGGAGATTTTTGTTGCTGTAGCACGTGGCTTTCTGGGCAACAACAAGGCTGACAATTATGTGGAACTTGAGACCTTGATTAAAAGCTATAGTTATATGGGCTGTAGGATGTCTCTTAAGGTCCATATCCTTGATGTTCATCTTGCCAATTTCAAGGAGAATATGGGAGCATACTCATAGGAGCAAGGGGAGCACTTCCACCAAGATATAATGGACTTTGAACAGAGATATCAGGGCTCCTGTAATGAAAACATAATGGGATACTACATTTGGGGGCTTAAACGGGAAAGTGATTTGTTGCATACTCACAAATCTAGAAAAATTGCTTATTTTTATTATTATTATTAAAGATTAGCCGGTATTCTCCCGGCCCGGGCCTTTTCCAAGTGGTGGCCCGGCTTGACTCCCTCTCTAGGGAGTGTCTGAGACCTAAGTCTCCCATGGGAGGAGGCACAAGTACCTCCTCATCTTTGGGACCAACTGTCCCCAGGCCTAGCCACAAGCTAGGCCTCTCTGGTCTGCCATCCCCGCCCCAAGGGGGCAAATGGGAATGACAGTCTTGTGAGCTGTAAGCTCGGGCTCAGGCACCTACCCTGCCCTAGAAGGGCTGGGCATGGTGTCGATCGCTTATTTTTAACTTTGTAAATATGTTTCAGAAAGTTTAAAATAAAATTTATGTAAATTTTATTTTATATATGTAAATTTTATTTATGTTTTTGTTTTACATCCAAAACTAATAACTATTGAAATTTAGCCTTTTTTGTCAAAAACTCAACCTATAGCCATAAAAGCAAAGTCTAAAAGGAATAATGGGGATTTTCTATTGTTTTGCAATAAAAGAAGTTGGAAAATAACACTTACTTGCCAGGAACAAAAATTGTATTGCATAGTGTTATCATTATCTCTTTATATTTATAATAGTTAATAATAAAAATAAAAGAAAACTATTTTAATAAACTACAGAGAATTTAATGCAACAATGATAGGCAATGATAATAATAATAACAACAAAGCAATAATATTTTAATAAAAGATAATTATAATTCAATATTTATAAGAGGTAAAGTGTTAACATTATAGTTAGTGATGATGTTTGTTTATTTGCGAAGGTGACGGAGGTGATGGAGGCACTGGAGACGTCCTCCACTCTGGTATTTCTTGACCTGGCCTGGCCTGGATCACCCAGACGAAGACTCCACATCCAGCTGGATACTGACACCATGATGGCCAGACAGTTTGTATTGTTGTGTACTGGACAGCACCAACCTGCCTCCTACCTCAACACTAAACTGCTGTGTACTGGACAACAGAAGCAGTCAGGCTCTTCTTACCTCAACACTAAACTGTTGTGGGTATGGAACAAGGGTCAGCCAGGAGAGTTTGTGGGGGGTGGAGACTACCAGTATAATAATGGTGAGGGAGGCGCACCACTGCTGCCTCACCAGCTTGATCACCGGTACCAGAAGTCAGGCAGTGCTGGTGCTGTGTGGTCACGGTATGACCCGTGCAGTAACAAGAGTTCACAGTTCTGCATCATCACCAGGGACCACACAAGTGGTCTCAAGTGGTCTGGTGTCTTTGGTAAGGTGGTAAGTGGCCTAGATGTGGTGAGAGCAGCAGTCAACCACAGTGACATCACAGAGGTGACTGTGGTGGATTGTGGTGTTGTGTTGACACTCTAGTTCATTGTACCATCACTACTGTGTCACTATTTCTGCTGTATACCACCATCAATACATTGAAGTCACATTCACTGCAGTGGTGTGTCACTATCATTAGAGTGGTGTTTCACCATCACTGAAGTGGAATATCACTATCAGTACAGGTCTCATCATCACTACATGATGTCACTACAAAGGTGCTACCATGAGTACAGTGTTCTGATCACTACAGCAGTGTCAGCATTGCTACAGTGGTATAACCATCACTACAGAGGTGCACCACCTGTACAGTGCTGTGACCACTGCAGTGGTGTCACCATCAGTACAGAGGTGTCACCATCACTACAGTAGTATCACGATCACTACAGCGGTGTCACTACAGTTGTGGGAACAAATTCCATCCTAAGTCCTCTACCCAAAACAAATGCACACAGCCGGGTTAGTGGAGGTGGTTGGAAGGTACATCTTAATTTATAGATTTAACCTTCAAGGAAGGTGTAGGTCATTTATACTGTTAGTAACTATTATTAGGATTGTTGAGGCAACTGTAGATATTAATTATGTAGACCTAAGACCTTAACATAGGTAGGAATAGGCCTTTAACATAGGCAAACACTAGGATATATTAGCTAGGGAGAACTGGCAGCCTCAAGTTTGAGCGGCAAGGCACAGGTCTTTGAGATGCCGGTGCTTTCTTCTAAGATCAGACACCATTGGAATAACAGGTGCCATGAACAGCATGTTTACCTGGAGTTTACCTGGAGAGAGTTCCGGGGGTCAACGCCCCCGCGGCCCGGTCTGTGACCAGGCCTCCTGGTGGATCAGAGCCTGATCAACCAGGCTGTTGCTGCTGGCTGCACGCAAACCAACGTACGAGCCACAGCCCGGCTGATCAGGAACTGACTTTAGGTGCTTGTCCAGTGCCAGCTTGAAGACTGCCAGGGGTCTGTTGGTAATCCCCCTTATGTGTGCTGGGAGGCAGTTGAACAGTCTCGGGCCCCTGACACTTATTGTATGGTCTCTTAACGTGCTAGTGACACCCCTGCTTTTCATTGGGGGGATGGTGCATCGTCTGCCAAGTCTTTTGCTTTCGTAGTGAGTGATTTTCGTGTGCAAGTTCGGTACTAGTCCCTCTAGGATTTTCCAGGTGTATATAATCATGTATCTCTCCCTCCTGCGTTCCAGGGAATACAGGTTTAGGAACCTTAAGCGCTCCCAACAATTGAGGTGTTTTATCTCCGTTATGCGCACCGTGAAAGTTCTCTGTACATTTTCTAGGTCGGCAATTTCACCTGCCTTGAAAGGTGCTGTTAGTGTGCAGCAATATTCCAGCCTAGATAGAACAAGTGACCTGAAGAGTGTCATCATGGGCTTGGCCTCCCTAGTTTTGAAGGTTCTCATTATCCATCCTGTCATTTTTCTAGCAGATGCGATTGATACAATGTTATGGTCCTTGAAGGTGAGATCCTCCGACATGATCACTCCTAGGTCTTTGACGTTGGTGTTTCGCTCTATTTTGTGGCCACAATTTGTTTTGTACTCTGATGAAGATTTAATTTCCTCATGTTTACCATATCTGAGTAATTGAAATTTCTCATCGTTGAACTTCATATTGTTTTCTGCAGCCCACTGAAAGATTTGGTTGATGTCTGCCTGGAGCTTTGCAGTGTCTGCAATGGAAGACACTGTCATGCAGATTCGGGTGTCATCTGCAAAGGAAGACACGGTGCTTTGGCTGACATCCTTGTCTATGTCGGATATGAGGATGAGGAACAAGATGGGAGCGAGTATTGTGCCTTGTGGAACAGAGCTTTTCACCGTAGCTGCCTCGGACTTTACTCTGTTGACGACTACTCTCTGTGTTCTGTTAGTGAGGAAATTATAGATCCATCGACCGACTTTTGCTGTTATTCCTTTAGCACGCATTTTGTGCGCTATTACGCCATGGTCACACTTGTCGAAGGCTTTTGCAAAGTCTGTATATATTACATCTGCATTCTTTTTGTCTTCTAGTGCATTTAGGATCTTGTCGTAGTGATCCAATAGTTGAGACAGACAGGAGCGACCTGTTCTAAACCCATGTTGCCCTGGGTTGTGTAACTGATGGGTTTCTAGATGGGTGGTGATCTTGCTTCTTAGGACCCTTTCAAAGATTTTTATGATATGGGATGTTAGTGCTATTGGTCTGTAGTTCTTTGCTGTTGCTTTATACTGCCCCCTTTGTGGAGTGGGGCTATGTCTGTTGTTTTTAGTAACTGTGGGCGACCCCTGTGTCCATGCCCCCTTTTCCATGGGAGGAAAAAAGGCTCGTGATAGGGGTTTTTCTTGCATTCTTGATGAAACACAGATTTCCCATATCGGGCCCCCTTGGGGGAGTGCTGGGCATGTCATTTATCGCCTGTTCAAATTTCATTTGGCGTCAGGATAACATCGGATAGGCTTGTTTTAATAAAAATTTTGTGGGCTCTCTCATAAAAAATTCATTTTGATTTTCGACTTTTTTTTCGTCTGGTTGGGGCGGCTTGCAAAAAAATAGCCCATATTGGGACTTAGTAGCTCACTCATTTCCCTTTTTGCTGTCATCTGTGTAGGACCCACCCTTTTTTAAGTGGGGGCCCAATACGGGAAACTTTGTTCTCGATTTTGATTTGGAAATGGGGAGAAAAATTTTTTGGGGTTTTTCTTTCGTTTCTTTTAGGCTTTTAGTTTTTCCCCCCGCGTTTCCCTGATCCAAAAGGATTCTTTAGTTAATTTTCGTTTGCTTGCTATTTCTCTGACCATGTCTCTCTAGGGAATTTTCAGATATATTGACCTCTTTTAGCCGCTCTGTTATTTTTCCGTCGCCTGAAAGGGGAGCGCCTGTTCCTTTCTTTTTTTAACATCTACTCCTCCCTTTTTTCTTAGAGGAAAAAAACCCTTGTGATACTTCGAGTGCCCCCGGGATTTAATTTCTGTTCTAGGCTTAATTTGGTGTCTGTGTTGCTTATATAATTTCCCCAGTTATATGGGGTTAGGATTTTGGTTTATTTGGGGGTCCCACTTTATGTTTTTTTTATTGAAGTTAATTTTGGTGAATCCCTCCCTCGTGATTTAATCTAAATTATGTCGGTCGGGGGCTCCGCGCATTACTTAAACTGAACCTAAAATTTGTTGTGATCTGAGTATATTGTTTTTGATATGGTGAAAATTTCTTATCAGATCATCATTGTTAGTGAAGAGAGGTCTAGTGTATTCCCCAGCCCTAGTAGGCTCTTTTAATTTGCGGGTTTTAAAATTTGGGAATTTTGGGGCGGGAGATTTAAAAGCTCGCGGGGAGTGTGATTTTTCCTTTCCAACCCCTCCGGGTTTGTTATTACTGCAACAATATTTTTTTGCTATATTCCTCCATTTTAGGGGGCCTTAAATTTTGAAACCCCCCAGGAGCAAGATGTTGGGTCCCGGAGCTGGAAGATTTTGCAGACAGTGGTAAATTTTTTAAAACAGCTTTTCCCTGGAATTGCTGGGATGTTGCATCCGGGGCTTGTAGATTTACCACAAGGACTAGGTTTTGGTTCTCGCCCTTTTAAATGTTTAAAAACTTCCACTACATCATTTGAGGCATTTAGCAGTTCTGTGCAAAAAGTGACTCTGCAATTTTACAGGCCGCCCCCCCCCCCCTTTTCCCCTTTTTTCACTCCAAAAATCTGTATGGGTTTTAAACCGGGGAAATCCAAAATTTCTTTGCCCAAAAGTCCCCCTTTTATGTGGGTCTCGGGGAAACCCACGAACTTTCCCTTTGCCTTTTGCAAGCAGTCCACGGTAAAAAGGAATTTGTTTTTTGTTGCGGGCCCTTTAGACCCTTTTATATTTCAAAGAAGAATGTTATGGGGACTGGTGGTTTTGGGGGGTACTGGGGGGGGGATTTTTTTTCCGGTTGTATCTGAAATCGTTGGGTTTGGGGGGAGTGGGGGAAATTCGCTGTGGTTCCACTCCGGGAAAAAATTGGACTTGGATTTGGTTTTTCGGTTTCTGCCATTTCCTGCACTTTTTTTTTTCCTTCTGGCACTAAAAAACCTCCCCCCTTTTGAGTGGCTGGGGGCTACCCAGGTTTTCCCCAGGGCCCCTGGATGTTTTGTTCTTTTTGTCCCCTTTTGATGGTATGCCTGGGAATTTAAGTTAAAGCACAGTCTTTCCCGTACTGAAGAGGTACCGTTCAGGGTGAAAAAAGCTTACAGAAAAGGGGGTTTTCATTTTCCTGTTGTTATTGGGGGATTTCATTTTCTAGGGGGGTCATAGTTGCACGTCCCATTGTTTTTTTTCCCGATTTCCCATGCAGCAGTACCAAGTGCATGTATGTGCACAGGGTTTGGGTTTCCGTTTGGGCCCTTGGGGTTTTTGTGACGTATTCCCTGTTGGGGGCATTTTCCCTTTCTTATTCTATCCTCCCTAGCACCAAAAATGGAGCTCCCCCCCAATTTTTTTTTGGGAATATAAACCCACTATTTTCAGTTTAGGGCCCTTGTTTGCTATTTCCTGCCCCATTTTTTAGTTTGCAATATTGGTTTTATCTTATCTTTGACTACCTTGTTTCCCCACTATGGCTCCTGTCCCCCATGAGGGCATTTTTATGTATTCCTTCCCGCTAAAAATTCCCGACTTTCCTGGACAAAATCTCCAGCTTACCATTACTGCCCCCCAGGACAGCATCTCCAGCTTCACCATTACTGTCTCCCAGGACAGCATCTCCAGCTTCACCATTTCTGTCCCCAGGGGCAGCACCTCCGGGTTTTAAACCCTTACTGTCCCCCCAGGAAGCACCTCCAGCTTCACCATTACTGTCTCCCAGGACAGCCTATCGCCCCCAAAATTTTCTGGGCTACCAGGGGCATCCCTCTCCAGTCATACAGTTTTTAGACTACATGGCCGAAACAAGGGGAGTACCCTTCAGCCCAGACTTTTTAAAGGTTTCCCCTTGTTTTTTGAAAGCTTCCAGGTTTTTTTATGAAAGAGCTTTTATGTTGACCTCATTTAATTCCCTTGTGATTTTTGCCACAGATTTTTTCATTTGGGGTACCCAAAAACACTTCCCTGTTTTAATACGGGTTGTAGCTAGTTTTGGAATCGGACAAGGGGGTTTACACCAATTTCCACAAAAATGACATTTATGCTGTGGGAAACCCGTTTGTTTGACTGGAAACCCCAGACTACACACAAACTTCATAATGATTTGAATGGGTTTATTTTCTGCAATTTTTACTAGCAAACCTTTTTGAATATTCCCCATTTTAAAAACCTCCTTTAAAAGAAGCTTAGCTTTTGTATTTTTGTTTCTAATGTTTTTTTATTTTGGACCGCTTACCATCACGTTCCCGGGGTATATATTTTAAGTTTGTGTTTATAAGGGCGCCCCACAAACCCCCTCCGTTTTTCAGTCTGGTTTTTTGTCCAAACGAAAAACCCTTTTTTAAACCGGGCAAGGGGGTTTGGACCAGTCCCAAAGGGGTTTGGGCCAGTCAAGGGTTTTAGGGCCCGATCGATCTGATCAGTGGGGCACTTATTTAAACCCCTACTGGTCGGTGATTTTTTAGCTAACCATGAAGGGTCTACTGGAAAAATTTTCTACCCGATAATTGTGATTTGATTGATAAAAAAAAGTATAACTTGCGGTTTTAAGAAACCGGTGGGCTGCGGCAAAATCCTTCATTGGCGAAAAAGGTCCCACCCCACCCCCTTTTTTATCAATCGCTGATCTAGCTTTTC